GCTTTTACCACTATAGTATTTCCCCGAGAAAAAAATATCTATCTGGTCTGCGGAAGGGTGTTTGATGGAAGCTTTACCGCGCAAAACTTTAATATCCTGACTTACCTAAGGTCCATTCATAACTGTTGGTAAGGTGTGAATACGAAAATACAACTCATAAAAATGCCCACTTTAGTCAGTTCATTTCCGTTTAATTTTTTTCTCGTCCATGTTTACTCGAATGAATAGTGTATCAAACTTATCTCAATTTTTACATAAATTTAGGCAATAATCAGTCTCCAACATTTACACGATTTGCTTTCGATTAAGACGGATTCATATCAGTTAGATAAATATTGAAAACCAGCAGGGAGTAATAAACAGCCGGTTGTTTCGTCACTGTGGCTTGAGACACTCTTCAGCTGTACCCACTCACCTACCCACCCACCAAATGGTTTCGAACTCAGGAGCTCCTGGTTGCAAGGCAAGATCGTATACCATTCAGTCACTGGGAATCGATTCAATGTCTCATGAATTCCAGATTCTACCAATTCGTGATTATTTAACACGACCACCAACCAATGTCATCTCAGTGGGAAATCCATCCTCACTTCGGACTATATGGACACCTCACTAGTGACAACTTTTCACTAATATAACTCCATGAAACTCCATTATGTAACAAGTCACTAGCGAGCATCAGAATAATTTTCAAGAGTTGATTTGTAAGAATTTAATCTGTTTTTTGAGTTGGAACAGAGGTTGATGTAAATTGGAGAACCTCCGATGAGTCCCAAACTAAGTTGGTAGGTGATGAAACAGCTATCCAGTACACTCCCTGAGCAGTTTTCAATCTGTGGTTAAACTTGTAATAAAACAAATTAAATCCTAACAAAATCAACTTTTGAAAATATTTACGATTATTTTCTGTCTGTAAATTTTTTTTTTGAAAACTTTTTTTTCGGTCTGCTCATTCATCAAACTGTTATAGTTGTAATAATAATAATAATAATAATAATAATAATAATAATAACAATAGTAATTATAACAAAAATTTGTCTGTTGAATAACACTGATAGACAGACTATAGTCTGTCAGGTTACATAAATAATGTAACAGGTCAACTCAGGTGAAACAAAACACTATCATGTTATAGTGAATACATGTTATTTTTGAAAAAAACAAAAATTTAATTAATTATTAAATTGAAATAATATCAATTCTAGTGTTGGCTACATGTTCCCCAGTGGAACATAGGGCTTCAAGCTAGTGGCTTGAAGTTTCTTTAGCAGTGTCTATTTTTACAGGATGGGGTTGCTAGCCTCATGCCCAACCTTTCCTCTTCACCAGCATTATTTCTGGCCTAGCGAGGTTAAGGAGTGCGCCCATGGCCGGGGTTCGAATCCCGGACCATGTGCATGGTCGACGAGTGTCCTAACCGCTATGCCACCGACGCACCTAGTGTTGGCTTACAAGGATTTATAATTGGTTACAGGTATTTCAACATCATGAACTGACATTCTTCGGAGCACTATTGAAAAACCTGTAAGGAGGATGGGACACAGCTGTTGCATCGCCTTACTTACTTACTTACTCACTCACCAACAAACAGGGTTTGAATCCAGCCAGGAGGCTTTGGTTGCAAAGCGAACTCATAAATCATTAAGCAGCCCCCAGGGACTCCATCGAATGGTCAGTCCATAAAATTCCAACTTGCATCACTTCGTGGCATAGTGCGAATTGCACAGGCCAAGGTCATCGGTGTTGGCGATTATTTGTCTTCACACATTCAACTTGCCCTATTCCTTTAGATGTGTAGTCACGTGGCCTCTATCTAGTGAGACGTCCTGACCAGTGGAGTACATCTGGTTGAATGTGAGGATATATACTCGCCTCTGATGACTTTGGCTAGTGTAGCGGTTGCGCTATATCATGAGAAGGTAGAAGTTGGAATTCATGGGGTGAGCATTGGGTAGGGTTCTAGTGGCTCGGTGGATTGGGCAGGATTGGACTACACCGACCCCTAGATTAGAAATAGGAAGTGAAGTGGTAGAGCGCGTTCACCCCTTCACTTACTTGGTAAGTACCATCAGCCAGTGTAAATGGGTTGATCTCTGACGAAATCTCAGCACGGATACAGAGGGCTAGTTTCGCATATGCCAGTTTACGCCGTCTCTGGCTTAGTAAACGCGATATCCGACTATCGACCAAAAGGCGTGTGTACTACTTATCAGTCCGCTCCGTCCTCCTTTATGGCTGTGAGCCATGGCCATTGAGAGTGGAAGACATGAAAAGATTAGCTGTCTTTGATCATAGGTGGCCGCGTTCTATCTTTCCGTGTGAAGTGGTATAATAAGGTGATCAATATTCAGGTTAGGCGTTGAGTGTTAGGGAAGGAGGGGAAACCAATCGACGAGACTGTGAAATTACATCGACTGAGATGGTTAGGACATGTGTTACACAAGTATGCCTAGTCATCGCCTTCCCCAACAATGGGCAATGTTAGCTGATATAGGGTGAGGCTGGAAAAGAGCTAATTAGTGGTGGTCAGACGAAAACATGGCTTCATCAGTCAATGAAATCCACAACAGTTAGTTTAAATCAGCCACGTAGGAAGGTGTAGACTGGCTTCCTGACTGGTTGGGGTCCTTGGGACGGTAAAAACCAATGGTTGGAAACTGCCGCACATCAGTGCAAAGTTCTATGTCGAAAACCGACCGACCGACCGGTGGTATACGAACCCACCTTGTAACCTGAAGTTCCTGAGTTTGAACCTCCTCATATGGTGGTTTTGAACTGATGATGAAGAGTCTCAAACTAGGCTGAGGAAGCAGCTGTCCAGTACTATCTGATGATGTTGGTTTCCTATTGGTTCTCAAATCGGTGTCAGCTCATGATGAAATCTTAAAATATCAATGATTGTGCAATAATTATAATAATTATAATGATGAAGCTAGCTAGCTTGAATCTTGCTTACCGAGGTGTGTGTGTGTATCAGCGGTTCTCATATATATTAGGTGGATTTTATTGCCAACTGATTGGCACGCTCCCACTGGTTGTTGAGTAACATTGACTGAGTGGTAGTAACACCAATAATATTCTAGTTTCATAGTGGTAGTAATAATAATAATTAGTGGTGATTGATTGATTCTGTAATTATTATTAGTAGTGTTATTCCCTTGAGTTCCTAGCGCAACATAGGGCTACAACAGTGAACATCTTCCTCTCCTCCTGCTTTCTGCAGTCCTCTTTATAGATAGATGGTCTATAATGTCCCATAAGCTCTCATCCCCTCCTCCTCCTATGAGCTTCCCTTCTCTTATTTTGTGTGGTATGTGATGGGGGTGCGGCGATTTGAACTGCTGCTGTTGTGTTCAAAGTTCTACGCTAGTCAGTTTTCGTTCCATTTGGAACATAGGGCTTCAAGCGTTAGCTTTGCAATTTCAGTAGCAGTGTTGTTTATTTTACGGGATGAGGTTGCTAGACTCACGCCCAGGTTAACCCCCTCCTTTATCAGACTTTTAAGTGATTAAAGGGGGGGGGGAGGTAAAGATACGTGCCGGCCGGGGATCGATCCGCAGACTATGTGCATGGTTAGCGAGTATTTTACTGCTGAACCACCGATGGACTTATTAATAAATAAGTAGTATATCATCTTATCATGCAAGTTATATTTCATCAGGTAACGGTATCAAATTGGAGAAGTATTGGAATTTGTAAAGCGCTGGACCGTTTTGTTTATTCCAGTCTAGAATTCTTCAGTCTGTTACCATTCAGTACTACTACAGGAATGAAATCTAATAGCGAATAAATAAACTCTTCAATATGTTCGCTCGCTAGTGATTGGCTACAGGAAGAAATTGTGACTGGAGTTCTAATGATGAGAAGTCATGACCATCGGGATCCACACCCGGTTGCGAGTGTGGGACAAATACTCACCGCCGATTTTATTGGCTGCTGCCAGTGGTGTTAAATTGATGAATTGGTAGAACCGATTGTGCAACAAATAGGCAGGAAGAAATGAATGTGGATTGGCTGCCCATACTCTGAGGAAACAAACCATCAAGTGACATCACTAGACAAGCCATTGCTCGAGTGGAACCCGGCCGAAAGGGAAGCGGCGAGTTTGTCGTCAGTGTGAAGGTGGGGTGACTTGAAGGCGGTCATGTGAAGAGGAGATGAAAACGTGTGGGCAGACTTGGAGCCAGGTGAAGACTCTAGCAGAGAACTGAACGCAATGGAGACGCGCAGCTGAAGCCTTATGTTCCTCTAGGAATTAAAGGAAATAATAATGATAATAAGAGAAGTTAGAATTTACGAACTGACCATTCAGTCCGTGGTCTGTTGGTTAAACAGTCTATGAGCTCGCCTTGTGACCAGAAGGTCCTGAGTTTGAACCTTCTTCTGTGGACGGTGTGCAATTCTGAAGAGTCACAAACTAGAGTGATGTAACCGCTGGCTATCTACTACTCCCTGGTTCTCTCACTGTGATATTAGTCTGTGATCAAAATTCAAACAAACTGGATGCGTACAAAAAGAAAATTCTTGAAAATTTTGCCTTTTGTGAATTCATTATGATCAACAACTCCAGCAGTATGAATCCACAGTACCTTATTGTTTTTTCATTCCTTTACTTTTACAGTGGAGCATAGCGCTTCAAGCTACAGGCGCATGAAGTTTCTCTAGCAGTGGTGTTTATTTTTACAAGATGGCGGTGCTAGCCAGCCTCATGCGCAACCTTCCTTCTTTGCCATTCTTAATACTAGAGTAGGCCAGGTAAAGGAGGAGAGTTCATCAGTGGTCGGGGATCGAACCCCGGAGCACATGAGGCGTGTGGTTGGCGAGCATTCTACCGCTGTGCCACAGACGCACATGAATCCACAGTATTTAATTGTTTTAATAATATAAATGGTGTCATTTTGATTTTTGATAGGAAACTTTACAATTTAGTAAAATCCCGAATTCTATAAATGCTAAATCATCTCACCATTTATTTTTTTTGTTATTTGTTGATTTTACAGGATTTTTCATTGACCAAGCTTGTCGTAGATGTTTCGAAACATCATCGTCATCCTCCTCCTCTGTGGTCATCTCTTCACCTGCCTTCACACCTGACGTTTCCCCGGCGTTAGCATTTCATAAAGATTGTACAATGCGTATCATTCTAGCTTTTTATATCTGTGCAGTATTATTTATTTTATCAAGTTTACTATTTATGCCGTTACGTTGGTTGGCTAGACATGATCCATATCGTGAAGTCTACTGTGGGGGGCTGCCATCATCTGTATTCGTTGTAGGTGGGGATTCATGTCATCCAGACGATGGGGATGAATTATTCTCATTTTGTTCATATGGTTCAGGTCAACCGGATGAAGTTTATGATCCACAAGAAACACAAACAACGCATATACTGGTAAGTGATTGATACTGTGCATTTCAATGTTTTATCCTTCTTTTATTGATTCACGATGTGTGCTTTGAACAATAAAAGATTGAGATAAATAATACACAATGCATATTGTCTTCGATAATCGCTTACTCTTCATCAGGATCTAAAGTTTATGCGTCCATGATATTTATTCCCTAACATTCCTTGAAAGAACAAAATAATAATAATAATTTGCTTTATTCCAGAAACAGTACTAGTCGTACAGTGTGGAATTTTCAGCACATATCTACAATATTTGCATCTAATTTTATCAAACATTTAAAAAGAGTATTTTCAAGAAATAAATATAAAGACAACAACAACAAAACACACAAACACAAAAATAATATTTTAAAAATTGCGAAAAAAATACCAATAACTAGAAAGAAAAATAAACAGCATAAAATAATATCTCAGTACTGGCTATTGGAAGCTATGACATGTTTATGCATGGTGACAGTAAAGCTATAGTCATACAAGAAGTTATGAAATGATATTTAAGAATGTTTATCGCCAAGATGATCAGTTAATTTGGTTGAAACAACACTAAACAATCATAAAATAACATTTCAGGGTTGTTGTTTTGTTTTTTATTGTCAGGTCTAATGCGGTGTTTGTAGTGGTAGTGTGAGTAATCCTGCATAATACAAAATTTTAAGATGGTGATAATGACGTTCACAACCAAGATTGTCAGTTAATATTGCCGAACAAAAAAAACGGCAACAACAACCAGAAAAACTAATAATTACATGATGGTTAATGACAGGACAATTTGTAATACTCTTAATGCTAATATAGTCGGAACCAGTAGATACACAAGAGAAGGAATAGAATAAAGTACAAAAAAGTAAGCCAATGTTAATAATTTAGGTAGCTAAGTATGTTTAAGAAGGAGTTCACTATAGAATAAAAAATAAGAGAGAGATAAAAGAGCCTAAAATTATGTTGGTAATAACAAAGCAAGTCATAGGTTTCGCGCTTAACATTGTCTCTGTCACTGAGAACACGGGCCAAATATGGTATCGTTGAGTTCCTGTACTTGGTTGTACGAGCATAGATTATTTTATACTGATTTCTGGTTCTACCTGATGTGATACAAGGCGAGAGTTGGGAATAGAGGGGGTGTTGGGGGTCGGAGAGTATGGTTGTAGACGATTTTTCGCAAATATTCAGATGCCTTTCTACCAATGTGGTGACGAGCTGACTGAGTTTTACACCACTGATCCTACTAATTACATTCAACATCCTTCTCAGGATGGTATAGTCCTTTTTCAGTAACCCAGGAAAGATTAACGGGGAGCAGTAAAGTAGAATAGGTAAGATACAAGAGTTGACAAATTGTGAAGGTAGAGGTTGGGTGATTCCAGATTGTCTAAGTTCCTAATGTAGTAGGTTAGACGGAACACTTTCTTAGAAATCGTTAGGAGATGAGATTCTAGCAAGAGCTTTCAATTTTCGGTAGCAGTTGTTACATTTTAACGGGGTATGGTTGCTAGCCTTGCTCAAGACTTTCCTCTTCACTGGCCTTACCTCGCGTCAACTTAGCGATGTTTAAGAGTGCGTCAGTGACCGGGGTTAGAACCTTGGCGAGCGTTTTACCGTTGAAGCTGCGATGACTAAGACACTGTTATGGATAAAGTAGGGGAAATCCACTTTGGACCTTATACGTTGAAGAATGAAGCCATTTCTAGGCGAGGGTAAATGGTTTTTTAATTTGATGCCGAAAATTAATAACACCAATAGGAGGATATATGATGTTGGTAAAGTTCATCCATCAGCCAGGATATCTTATAGTTTGGCCTACAATTGAGTTTAGAAATTTCCCTACTTATATACTGTCTAAATATTCTGCTTTGGTAACCAATTCATTTAGAAGCAACTCAAAATCTAGACTGACAAATTCTTATAAACTAAAACATGTTATTATTATTATCGTTCCCTTGGGTTCCTAGTGGAACATAGGGCTTAAACTACACGTCTCCTCTTGCTTCTGTCTTCTGCTGTACTTTTCACCTGCATCCATGTTAGTCCATACTGTTTCAACTCCTCTTCACACGATCTCCTCCATGTCACCCTTGCACTGACGTCCCACTCGCCGCTTCCCTTTCAGGTTCCACTCGAGCTATGGCCTGACGCGCGATGTCACCCAGCGGCCTCCTCTGCTCAGCGAGTGTCCAATCCATCTCCACTTTCTCCTGCATATTTGTTTGGAGATTGGTTCTTGTTTTGTTTCTTCCCATAGCTTGTTTCTTGTTGGTGATTCTTTCCGGCCATCTGATCTTGAGTATAGAGCCAGCGAAGACAGTTGTTGATGATAAAGGTCTGCAACAGGCTGTTGGAAATATTCTTTGTGACCCGCCGCCAACTTTCTGATCTGTATAGAAGAAGTGACTGACTTGACATTTGTATTGAAAATCCGAATCACTTTGTTGTTGATGCAGGCTGAGTGACGAAGATTTCCAGATTGGTTTCGGGTTGATGAATGTGTTTCTCGCCTTCCCGATTCTCGGTCGATTTTACATCCTCGTCCATTTCTCCTGTAGTTGAGAGAATGCTCCCTAGATAAGTGAATGAAGTAACCTCTTTCAAATCCCTCCCGTTGATGGTGATTGGCACTGGATTTTGCTGCTGTTGCCGTTGTTGTTGTTGGTTGGTTATTTTCATAACCTCCGTGTTGTCTTTGTTCACCTGGAATCCTGTCTTTGCTGCTTCTTCGACCAGTTTGTCGGTTTTCGCTTGTAAGTCTTCGATTTTTTGTTACATCAAACATAAGTCATCCGCGAAATAAACTAAAACATAGATTAGGTCAATTTGAAATCACATAGTGAAGAAAAATTGGTTAGTTTTAAAATGTTGTCAGTTGAAGAGTGTTCATTTGTAATTTGTTAAGTCTCGATCCTATCTTTTGTTATAAGAAGAAGAAAACAAATTATGCATAATGATGATAATTTTAGTACCCTTCCAAATAGTTGATTGAACTAGACTTATATTAAATGCTGTAAACGCATTCATCGGTCTTCTATAGTGGTTAGTTTGTAAGGATTTGTTTTGTTTTTACGAATTTGACTATGGATTGACATTAATTGAAGAACCATTGAAAACCACCTTGTGGAGTGCTGGACAGCTGTTTCATCATCCCAGTCTGTAAATCATCGGCAGTACGCACCCACCGCCAGGATTAGAACCCAGAAATTTCCTTGCAAACTAACAACTATAGAAAATTAATCTGATGCTCACTAGTGACTTGCTACAGGATGGCGTTTCCTGGAGTTCTAGTGAGAAGTCGTCATCACCAGCTAGGTCAGGATGTGAGGATGAATTTCTCGCTGATGACAATGGTTGGTGATCATGCCAGAAATCACGAATTGGGAGAATTGAGAATTCATGGGCTGGCGATTGAATTGGGTCCCACTGGCTGAATGGTATGGTATACGAGCTTGCGATGTAACCAGAAGATCCTGGTGTGTACTGCTTGCTGATGATCTCCAAACTAGGATGAAACTGCTGTCCAGTATCCCTGGTTAGTTTCCAACAGTTCTCTAACTGATATCATTCCAGTTTTGGTTTGTAAAGATTTGGTTGATTGGTTACAGGATTTCATCATGAGCTGACATTGGTTAGAGAACCATTGGATAACCTGGGGTTCCATTGAGAAGTCGTAACCAGTAGGGTGCAGCAGGTCGGGTGTGAGGACAAATATTCGCCGAGGACATTGGCTAGTGGTTGCGCTATATCGTGAATTGGCAGAAATTAGAATTCATGGGCCATTGGATCGGGTCCCAGCGGCTACTGAATGGTATACGAGTTCGCTTTGTAACCAGAAGGTCCTGGGTTCGAACCCCGCAGTGTGGGTGCGTACTGCTGAAGAGTCCCAAACTAGGTTGACAAAACAGCTGTCCATTACCTCCAGATTATCCAATGGTTCTCTAACCAATGTCAGCTCATGATGAAATCCTGTAACCAATGATATCATTCCGTTGTCAAACTCGAAAAGTTTTCCTTTTTGTCGTGTTTTTCTCTTCATGTAAACAGTTTTTCTGCTATATTTGAGTTTCCCCACTTGTTTTTTATTTTTGTTGTTTAAAATTTCTTTTTTTCGTTCTTCTAGTGTGATGAAAATGAAACGACTGGGAAAATTCGTTAATCAAAATAAATAGAAATCGATACCCCTAATCGAAAAAATGAAAGTTATTCAACACATACACTGAAATAACCGAAGAGAAGAAGAAAACCAAAAACCACTTAAGGAACGCCAACCCCCTGTATCTGTATAGAGCCTACTTTCCTATGTATATTTGTAAAGGCAATTTATACCCCTATACAATCTTATAATTACTTGCTTACTTACTTACTTACATACTGTTATAAGTACAATGTTATGCCTTTCATCGTCATTGTCATTGCTCAGAGTATAACTGGAGTCTCGAGGGCGGCGGGAGGAGGTAAATTCGAGTGATTATCATTTTTTTTTCCCATTCATTCTTCATTAAATGTTTAATTAACCTTCTACGACATACATGAATACGTACATACATAGATGTACCCATATGACGTAATTAACTTCATGAATATATTTATAAACACATATATGATCGTCGTTCGTATTGATTTCTTATGTTATAATCCTCTTTCGCTTGTGTTACGCGCAATAGATGTTTACTTATTTACACATTTATTGATAAGTTCTCCTTCTTCTTCTTCTTCTGTTTTTCTGCTGGTATTTATACAAGTGAAAGCAAGCGAACAGAGACAATAATTATTGAGTACACCAGATCTTATTTATCGATTACGTAATCAGGATAACTAACTCATCAGTGGAACAAACACCTTTGCTTATTTTTTGGTGATTTCATCTTCAAAAGGTAGTTTTGTACACGCCCCCTTCGCATTTTGCTTGATACCACATATTTCAAACAGTTTTACACCTCTTACTGGCTTGCATCTTGGTGAGTCGGTGGCACCCGGGGGTAGAATGCTCGCCAACC